ATTTATTTAATCGTTGACTTGCCATATGCAAATCAAGGGTGTTATATTTCTGCCAGAGAATTTGTTTAATGTTATTTTTAACAGGCAAAAAAATGTTGAGTAATATTGTAAGTGTTCTATTTACATTAGTTATTTGTTCTAGATTTCCATCTGAATAGGATACAAAGCAGAACTACTACGATATTTCAAGTTATGCACTAAAAACAACTTCTTTTTAAGGAAAGTTAAAAAATAATTGTTTTAATGTGTATGACCCATGAATATATGTACTTTCCTAAGATATACTAAAACACTGTATTCCTAGATTATGTAGAAGAAAAATATGGGAAGACATTCAAGTTCATAAGATTTAAATATAAAATCAAAAACAATATTGGCAAGTAGATTAATACAAAATACATTAGGTTTTTATCTTCATTTATATATTTTTGTAAAATATAATAAGTTAGGAACGTTTCATTGAAGCACCTTTAATTTTAGTATATTAATAATTGTTATTCGAGTAATCAATAATATATGTCAAAAGGATTATCAAATTCATGTTTGCATTATTTAGAATATATAACATGTTTTTTGCATACAAATCAAGAATATATTATGACTATAAAATATGGCTATATTTGTAAACCAAATTCCCAATCTTGCTATATATAAATAAATTTCAATTTATATTTATATTTAGGGTGTTAAACATATTTTATATTGAGAAAAAAGTTCCGATATTGAAAAAATCTACAATCATGTAAATGTTTTATTGTTCATACCACATTACTTTTTAGACTCTTAACACTAATGTTGTTTCTTAATGAATTGGTATTGATTTGAACATATTGTATGCTTGAACAATAATGTTATATTGTAATACTAAAGTTTACAAATGTGTTTCTTATGGCGCACTTCATTATTTTGGCATTATTTAAATATTTTCAATGATATTATAGGTGTATTACAAAATTTTATTTACTATAAAAACAAGCATTTGACGATTTATATTTTTAATTTTTTCTTTTAAGTTATGTTTGTATGGTAAAATTGTTGAGTATTATAAAAATCGCTTTTACATATAATTGTAACTTTTAGTTACATAGTTTATTTTATAAAGTATAACAATAAGCTGTTACTGCAAGTCGCAATCATCCGCGATTTTCAAGTGGTATTATATAGTGGTGTGAATAATTGCGCCAATACTATTTTAAGGGCTAAAATACATAAAAACATTAAGGAAAAGCATAAAAATCTTCGTGTAAAGCCCTCGAAAAAAATTCTTGGAATATTGTGTATGAGTTACAGTGTAATTGTATCATATCGGTCTAAACTACCATACCACTTGTCTTGTGCGATTTTTATTAAGCATTATAAGGTGAGGTTTAATTGCGCCAATGCTCAGAACAACACCGAATGCAACAGAATGATGTATTCGGTGTTGTATTTAACTATTAAATCGAATAATACCATGTTTTCCCTCGCAAAAATGCCATATATAGTTTTTTATTAAAAACCCCTCTATGAAAAGATTGAGTAAGGAAAAGATTGAGCTCATTAATGCACCATGCAACAGCCATTTATCCAACAGAAAGCTTGCAGTGAAGTTAGGTTTAAGTGAACAATCAGTACGAAGATTCAGGATCAAAAAAAGTAAAAATCTCCCTGGACGTCCAAATGTGCTATCTAAAAAAGAAACCAATGTCATTTTACGAAAATTTGGGTCTGGTTTACTACAGGTTAGTAGTGATGGGGTAGCATATATTGCTGAATCGTTCGATAAAAAAAATCGAAAAATCAACTATTAGGAAATTATTGATCAAAAACGGCTTCAGATCCAACAAAAAAATTAAAGGACCGGCATTATCAAAAAAGAATCTGAAATTGCGTATGGTTTATCATGCAAGCCATTCTGATTTGACATATCAAGATTTCAAGAATTTCATTTATACAGATGAAAGCACATTTAGGATTTTTGGGGCCGTGGGCGGCCAGACGTACTACAAGCATGTTGATGCATCTGCACCACAACATCGAATCATTCGCACTCTTAAATTCGGAGGCGGCGGTTTAATGGTTTGGGGGTATATTTCAGGCACAGGTAAAATCAAGGTCTATCCTATTGAAGGCAACATGAACACAATGAAATATATTTCATTATTACGAGATCATGTTCTTGATGACCTGATTGCCTCTGGCATTGACTTGAAAAAAATGACCTTTGTGCAAGATAATGCAAGTTGTCATAAGTCAGTAAAAACCATTAAATGNGGCCAGACGTACTACAAGCATGTTGATGCATCTGCACCACAACATCGAATCATTCGCACTCTTAAATTCGGAGGCGGCGGTTTAATGGTTTGGGGGTATATTTCAGGCACAGGTAAAATCAAGGTCTATCCTATTGAAGGCAACATGAACACAATGAAATATATTTCATTATTACGAGATCATGTTCTTGATGACCTGATTGCCTCTGGCATTGACTTGAAAAAAATGACCTTTGTGCAAGATAATGCAAGTTGTCATAAGTCAGTAAAAACCATTAAATGGTTTAAAGACCAGAATATCAAGCTTGGGATGCATCCACCACAATCCCCTGATCTTAACCCCATTGAAAACGTGTGGGCATGGCTCAAAAGAAGAGTTAACCTGAGGCAACACGAAATACAAAACAAGGCTGATCTGTGGAGAGTGTTGTCTGATGAAGTATCAAGAGTGAAACCTACAGAAATTCGACGCCATTTCATCTCAATGCCTGGTCGCTTAAAGCGTCTAGAAAAAGCTAATTTTGATATAATTTGATGGGGAAATAAATAATGGGTTAAATATGCTTTTATTGTGCTCTTCCTAGTGTATATTGATATAATTATGCATATAATGTAGCTATCTTAGAGCGTTGTAATGCATGTAGAATTTGGCGCAATTGATCCTCTCAATTTCCCCCCTTAGCGAGTATATAGTATGTATAATATTGATTGAAAGTAACATATTCTATCTTAGTTTTCAATAATACACGCATCTTAAGAATAAAATTTATTGTATGGTGATCTCTGTAGTAACTTACAGCCTCAAAATTTCTATTTTTTAGGGCACTTGATTCATAAAAAAAGTATTGGCGCAATTATTCACACCACTATATAACTATTACATTTCGTTTTATATGATTATACTTTTAATCTAAATGGTGTGATTTAATATACACTATCAAATTATTCCATTTTGAACATTTTTTGTTCTAGCCCTGCAATATAACTTGAAGGATTGTAGTATAGTCTGCCTCTAAAAACCTGTACAGGTATAGTCAATTTACATTAGTTATATGTTTTTGTTTTTAATCTTTTCTAATTTGTAGATGAACATGGCTCCTCTATTGCCAACTTTTGAGAGCGGAACAATATATTAATCGCAGGTTGAATTTTGTGTGTTTATTTAAAGCTTTAATTTCACTGGTTGAATATAACTTTTACTTTATTTGATTGATTTCTTTTGCATAACACGTTTCTAGGTTGTAGATATTAAGGAATAAAGTATTTTATAAAAAAAATTTTAGTTTATCTGTTCTGTATTGCAACGATTAATGTATTTTAACTAAACATACATTTATAACGCCATGATTCCAATTGAACCTTATCATATATTGCTGTTACAAGGGTGTCTTTCTTTGAGCTTGCTTCGTATGTGATATTTACCAAATACGTCCGCTCATAATTATATATTTGATTTTATTGTATTCACAACATTCCTTTTTCTAATGAAAAGTTTACCCATATGGAGTTAAATAATTTATTTTGTAAAACAGTGTTGTATAAAATAAGTGTTATTATGTGCAAATTAGTCTAGGATAAATATTATCTACTTTGCTTTAAGTTGGATATATCGGTGTTTATTTGTCTCTTTTTATTGTTTTATATATTTTTGTTGAAATTATTTTAAGAAGTATACATAATTCACTTTTTGTGTTTATCATGTATATAATAAACGATTATTGCATCTTATACCAATTTTAATTATG